GCTCTGAAATCAACTGATTCACCGGCGCTGGAGATCTTTCTTGGCTCTGAGTTTTTCTTTCTCCAACAACACTACCTGCAACCAAGTTTCGTAAAGTATCTTCAATTTCTCCTTTTCTCTGTCGCTCATCCTCTCCTCTCTACTCGTTGCGGCCTTTTGCTCCAGAGTTTTACTTTCTGAATTGAATTAGCATTTTTTTTTATCTGTTTGATATAATTATAATTATTATGATTCAAATCGTGAAGTTTTCTAACACTGAAACTTGATCTGAACTTTATGTGCTTAGGAAATCCAAATTGTAAGTTCAGAAGTAAACGGGTTTGTTAGATATGAAAGCATTTTCTGGATGGCGGCGTTTCCTTATTTTGTCTCCTCTTGTTTTTCTCCTTCCTCATCTGTTTTCAGGTAATTTATAGTCTTAATATTAATCTATTCAGTGCAAATTTTTTTTAGTGTCTTTTTTTTTTTTTTAATCATAGAACACCTTGAGAATGATATTTCTTCATATTTTCAGTTCTTGAGTTGCATCGAAGTTCAATTCCAGCCAATTCCCACAAGAAAAATAGTAAGAAATTTGATCATTTGCTTCTTGGACCTGCTGCTGGACAAGGCTTGCCAAATCGTTTGCAATGTGAAGGTTCATTGTAAACCATTTTTTTTTTTTTTTTTTCTGGATAGTAAATGTTACCATTATTAGAACATAATTTTCCCATGTTGTGGATGTATACTAGTTGTACTTTCTTGGGTTTATTAGCTTTTGATATTTCCCTTCACTTATGTTTTGATCTGATGTCACTGGCTCTTTATTTGTCTGACATGATATGTGTTTTCTCAGAACTATGGTTTGAAATTCATTTCTAAAAACATTTGTTTAAAAATTTAGATTGAGAAGAAGTACCTGATTTTTTTATCGCATGTATGATATCTGGACTGTGTTATTTCCGGTGATCAGTAATTATCATTCTAACCTCTTGTTTCTTAGCGTTAATTATGCATAATGAATTTTATGAGTAGCCTATAATAATAGCATATTCATGTAAATACTCAAAATATCTAAGATTTATACTTTCTTGCCTTCAGCATACCATCTGTGTTTTATGTTTTCAATTTGTTATAGGAGTTAAAGCTCTCAACAAGGTCAATTTCACAACCTCCTCACGTGCCTTGAATGTTGGAGATAGAGTTGCATTTGTCACTGTTTTTACCATTTATAACACCCCTCTAGACAGTGTTGCAAATGGTAGATCATCAAACTTGGTTACTGTTGGCAATGCTTCATACAGTAAATCAGAGAGGTCAATGGCCATTTTGAATGTCTTCATTAACTTCATTCAGGTAATTCTGAAGTTGATGTATATCCATTATCATGCATTTTTGGGTCTATACTGAGTCAAGTTTGCCTGTGCAGAAACTGAACTGAATACCAGCAACTTTATCATTAGGTCACCAGGATAATATTACCATAACTTGGTCCTGTGTAGTAGCACAAGGATTCTTTTCCCTTTTATGATTTAGCTTATTTTTGGATAATGGATGAATTACATGGAGATTAACTACAGCATTGGACCTAATATGCATTTTAAACATAGTAAGTTTGCATTTTGAGTCAATTTCATTACACCATCAACATGGTACATAGTTGAAGACTTATTTTAATCTTTATTCAAATTTAAAAATTTTCAGGATACAATGCCTCAGAGCAATGTCATCATTCTAACTGATCCAGAATCTGATCTCTCACTGCATCGAAACAGGGTCACAGTTTTTCCCATAAAGGGTGAATATTCACGAGACAAGCTGATGCTTCAAAGAATCAGGTCTTACATTGTAAGGCATGTCACATTGATAAATATTAGGTAGAAGAGTTTTGCTGTTAACTTATAGCTATT